AAGACTAGGGAGCGAAAATATTACCTTGGTGCAACTTCCTCTGATTACATATTAAAGGTATATATTTAGTATGAAACATTTTCACAATTGTAACTAATCACTTAAGCAGAAACAAATTTTCTAAAAGCTTGCAGTCTAATATCATTGGGAAACATAGCAACAAATGATGCTCTTTATCAGCCAAGTGACTGTGACTGCGTGGAGAAAGATCTCCCCATAAGGAAAAAAGCTAAGAATATCAAGTTCCCAACTGGGCCCAGCGATTTGACTGATGGTAATTGCAATTTGCAATTGTTCAAATATGTCCCGTAGAGATATGAGGCTCTTTTTCAGTTGTTTATATCAAGGAGGCTTGTTTGTTCTGTGACACTCTTCCCCTCATGATGTGAGCATCTGGTCTATGTAAGGTTAGTCCCTGTTGTCATTAATTGCACAGGCTTATTTCATTCCCATGACCCCTCCAAAATACAGATTTGGCACTTCTTTCCTGGCCAATCAATAGACTTATTTATACAAGACAAATATTTTGGCCAGAGTGTTTTCTTTTGAAGGGGAGGGCAGGATATTGCAATGTCGTAGTGGATTTTCAGCGGTGAATGTCTATGCATTTCACATAAAGTATATCAGCACATCATAAATCTCATCATTATAAAGGAATTTTCACTCACAGGTATTCCTTTTCCAGGCTCTACCTAAAGTGTTGTTCTTTCAATGCCTTGGACTATGATCTCAATAGCCCCAGGATATCCAGGATGTTCAAGATTGCTCCAAAGTACCCCAACCAGTTACTAACTTTACATCACTTCCCCCACCTACTGGGGGCCTGCGCACGCACACATACGCATGTAAATAAGGAGACACACATGCATGTGTGTGCACACACAAACTAGGCTGACTGACTAGTCTTACTAGGTGGAAAGTGTCCAGTCACTGGGAGCTCCTGGGAACTTCCTGAATGACAGAAGGTATACCCTCTCATGTCCTCTAGACTCAAAGTCCAAAGCAACTACTTCCCACTTGCTCCATACCCCCCGTTTCTTCCCAAGGTTCTTCATTCCACCATAAGGACAGAGTGCCTTTGGACTTCAGTCCATGTGACCTTTCATGGGTGGCCAGACTCTGCAGCTCCCTCGGCTCAAATTTCATTTCAAACTCTTCACACACGAGGGGCTTGAGGCACAGGAGGGTGGGAAATGGCACATGGAGGTACTCTGCAGCTGCTCCCAGCTGCTACAAAATGCTGATTTCTCCTAATAGGAACTGAAAGTGCCTCTCTTCAGTGTGCCTGTCGGGTGGACTTGCAAAACAAGGCCATGATCATTAGAGGCCAGAAAATTTCAAATTTTGATAAAGTCAGGGGAGCATTAACTCTAAATTCCAAGCTGAGTAATCTTTGAACTTCCTGTATGTTATAGAACAAAATGATTCTAGTAATATTCTTCTCTGCTGAAATTGTCCAGACTTACTAAAGAAAATGAATTAAAACATAGAAAATAGACATGCTAGTATAAGAGACTGAATAATGAATACATCCTATCTTGTATCAAAATAAAACCAAAGTGTTACAGAAACCAAATATTTATATTCATATATGTATACACAAAATATGTCAAATATATATATATATATATATATATATAAACATATCTTTAAATACTTTATAAATAGGTGTCTTCTGTCTTTTGCTTAGGAGAAAAAAAGACGTACTTTCTAGTTGGTACAAATATAAACAAACAGAGAGGGAGGCCTCTTTATTAAATTCTAAGCTCACTTGCTCTTGAACTACAGGAAAAGCATTTGGCCTTGACTTCCAGAAAAGATCTCAACATTTTGAAGCTAATGAAAAAATATTCCACTTTCCTTTATAAACCCACCACACATACAGTGGAAATGGAGACTGTTCATTGTGAAGGACTCTGTTACCATAACATGCAAGCCACAGACATTTGTTGTACTGATACCATGTCTGCTAAATTAAGTAATGAGGAATATTTTAAAAACTCCATCAGGGTGGAGTTTTATATCCAGAAAACTCCACTGAAGTGTTCTAAATTATCATTGACATACCTCCTGCCATATAAAAATGTACCTTTGTTTTACTTATTTTAGAGAAAAGATATTAGGACATTTAAATCAATAAGGAAAATTTTCTTTTTAGAGATTTTTGAATAACAAATTCATTTTCTTTGCCTTTACTACAAATTTATTCAAATAAAAGAAGTTTATTACTCTAAACTTGGGACACATTTTATAAAGTATTTTATTTTCTTCCCAGTGAGAGAAAATTATTGAAACATCTTAGCAACAGGCATTTCTAACTCTCGAACTTATTCTCTAAGAGATTTTCTTCAAACTTCCGAATAGCAACAGATTTCTCTCTTTGTGAGGACAGCAGGGGGCACTGCCACAACCAACTAGTATGACAAACTGATAGATTTCACTGGGCAAAAAAACAAGGCTAGACATCTTAGGATTCCACCATGTCAATGAGCATTTAAATATTACACAGATTTTTTCTTTTCCATAATTTACTTCGGGGGACAAATATTGGGATTTTCTTTCTGTGTGTGTGTGTGTGTGCACGTGAGTGGTCACAAGTACATGGTAGACAGCTTATATTTCAAATTTTGGGCTGACTCAGGAAGGTCTTGGAACTTCCCTGTTCTAAAATATTAGCTAAATATAAGCAGCTAAAATGCTGCACTTAACAGTTAAGTGGTATTCTGTGTAGGAGGTATACATATATATATTTTTTCACAGTTTAGTCTTCAGTCTTTCTCACAAACATCAAACTCCAAGTTCAGAGCCAAGATGAAAGAGAATTGTGGGGAAATTTCATTAAATAATCACATAATCCTGGCTCCACAGGTTGAATTTTTTTAATAAGCATTTTCTATGTAATTGAGTTAAACTTAAATTTACGCATCCAATAAAAAACCATTGCAAATGGTAAAACAAAGACATTGCTCCAACACTTGGAAAATTAAATTCACCAAACCATGAAGTCTACTGTGCAGTTATTTTTGTAACCACCATAAATTGCTTTATAGAACTCTTCTGCTGGAGTAAACAATCCAAGGAGAGATTTACTTTACAGCATGCATCTAGTTTCCAAAGAAGTGAGTGGCCTAAAAGTTTATAACTCGTTTTTCTTTTCTTTCTATTTTTTTTAAATACTTGTGTTTCTAGTTACCTTGAAACTTTTCTTCTCTTACATGAGCTCAAAAAGTTCTATAGAAAATAAGATCCAGGTCTGTTGATATACCGTGACCTCAAATATTCATTTCAAGAATAAGAAGAAACAATCCTACTTTGTGGAAATAAAGTTTATATGGCAAAACGAAAATAAAGGGTTTTAGTAGTAAATATTTTACTGTATTTAATAGCACCTCAGAGCCCAACGTTGTCTTAGATGTTTCAGACAGCCGGCTTGAAATGTGTTCGCTTATTATAGCACTATACGAGGCCGAATTCAATGCAAACTGCTATAGATAAGAGTTTTAGGGGTCTTTAATCACTTCTTTCTTGTGTCCTTGATGGAAAAAACAGAGCTGCCTTTGTGCTAAAAAGAAGGACCTGTTGTTTCCAGATTCAACAGGTCATTTTTATAAGAACTTCCCAGAGGATACAACATAAATGACAGAAACACAAGGGGATACTTTAAGTGGCTGATGATTTTAAATGATATATATTCTATATTAAGGGAAGGTTGTTTGTTTTTCTTTCCAACAAATGGAAAGTTACTGTTTTAATAGTGTTTAATGTTTGAATTTGATTTTTAGGACCAAATGTGTTCTCATGAGTTGAGTCACTTACTGTTAATCTGGTTCCTGAAATCAATCTGAGGGCGCGTTTGACCCTCTCAAGTAAATAAACTTGTCAAATCGTGTCCATTTCTGTTTTGGAGATGAACGGTTAATATAGTGGGATTCTGAAATATATCTAAATTGTGTTGTGGCTTTTGTAATATTGTTTCAGTTAAAATAACAAGGAGAATGCACGTTTTATAAACGATAAACTTTATAAAATGGAATATTCTAGCAACATGATTTTTTTCTTCTACTTGGAGAGGAAAAAAGTCAATATTTTGTGGCAAACAAAATCCAGGCTACACTAGGATGTATTAGAGTTTGGCTGAATCTACTATTAAAGGTGGTCTGAATTTGAGGAGACTGGCAAATTTAAGATTAAGATTTAAATGAGACTTGTTTCCTAACCTATATTCGCAGAGTCCTTCCACAATGTATTTTTTTTCCTTTTTTTAAAAAAAAAATGGGCTACCTTATTTGTAAAGAGAATTGCTTGAAGATCTTTAGAAAAGTTTCTGCCAGTCCAGAAACAAAAGTTACTTTTCCCTATAAATACAGAAAGTACTTTACAAAATTAATTCCTTGCTCCAAACAAAAGTTATGACCCAGGGAGAATTCTTTAAAACCCTGTGACTGGTTGCTGGCTCTTGCTTGGACATATATTTTGCAAGCTACCTAGACTCTCTAGTTCTTGACACTTTTACTAAGTCTCTATATTACTTACCACCTAGGACAACTACCTGGCAAAGAGTCAAGGTAAATAAATACCTGATGGCAAAGACTGTATTAACCACAGGGAATTGCCCAAAAGATAAAGAAAAACAAAAAAACAGGCTTTTCTAAGAGAGGTATCCTAGTAATTGATGAACAGGTTTCAAATTTAGGAGGATTTTTTTTTTGTTTTTCTGTAGCTAAACACATGGACACTTTCCCAGAGTAGAAAAAGGAGGGGAGACTGACTATTTGGGGGAAAGAGAACCCAAAGGACCAAAATCATTCAGGCCAAAACTTCCCTTCCACCCCTACTCTCGATATCCACTTCCCCAGAAAAAGAAGGCACGGGATTAAAGAGGTCCCTGCATTTAAGGACAACCACTGATCATCCTTCGCCTTCTCCATGCAGTGGGAGGGACACGAACAGGGGGTCCCCCCGGGGTCTCCCACGTCTGCCCCCACCCCGCGTGCGCTCACCGGTACCAGGCGAGGCCCTTGTCGTAGCTGCGATCAAAGAAGTGGGGCTCCGCGCCCACGGCTCGCACGTCGGGGTGCACCCGCAGGAACTCCAGCAGCGCCCGCGTGCCGCCCTTCTTCACGCCGATGATGATGGCCTGCGGCAGCTGCTTGCTGCCCTCGTCCAGGAGCAGGTCCAGGGTCCCCGGCGGGGCCTCGGCCACGCTGCTCTCGGCCCCGGAGCCGCCGGGACCCCCGGCCAGACCCGGGGTCTCCTCTTCCCAAGTCTCCT